ACCTAGGGTTGCCACCTGTCCTTTTCGGTCTTTTTGGAATAACTGTTCCTTTGACTTTTGACTTAAAAAGTCATTTTTATTTTTTTTTTTTTTTGAAATATTTTTTTTGACTTACCTGAAAATTACCTACAGCAAACAGAAATATTCTTTCGTCCAAATTTAATTAGAGGTGTTATAAAACATAAATAAATTTTTCTTGTTTTAGAATAGGCAACATTATTTAGAACTTCCCGTAATCTCAAATGATAGTTTAGGTTTTAGTTTACCTTTTTTATCTTAAAAAGACTTTCAAAATTAGTAATTAGTAACGATTTAGTTAGTTCGCAATCAATAGCTTCCTGTGAAATACTGTGTAATAGTTGTTTAATCTTGTATTATTAATAACTTCCTATACCTAAAATCAATATTTATTTTAATGAGAAAAATTGTGTTTTTGAAAATATAAGACAAGATTGACTTTCGGTCTTCTTCTCGTATTATGATGGCTCTGATACGAGGCAATTACATTTTAGTCTCTCAATAGAGGGCATTTATCATTAAAGTATCAAATCTGTGTGCTACAGTATGGGATTTCTGTAGCATAATAATGAATATTACGTTTACAAATCCATTACTTAGGTAGCTTAATCAGACAATCAAATTTTAGTTAAACGTCCCAATCTTCATGAACTGTATTAAGCATATGTATTGCGGTTTGAATCACCCTGTATGTTGACAAAAATATTTTGAAAATGTGCGTTACAATGGCCCCGATCTTATGTAAAGATTGAAATAAAAATCACAAACCAAAAACGTAATAGGTAAAAAGTTTTTTAGAGGCCTGGGTCACTCTGTATATAGCTATGTACAAAACTAGTAGCCTAAGAATTATTTACAGTTCGTCCCATTCTAAAAAAAAGGTAAACACACCATACAAATAACTCTGGAAGATGTATTTGTGATGGCCTGCAGTGGTAAAAACTTCGTCTAAACAAGACCGAAGGGGCAGATATAAGATATAATAAAAGCAATATTTTTTTTTTACTTGTAAACACATTTGTTTATTTGTTGAGCAAAATCCTTTAAAATATCGTATATAATGACCAAAATAAGACGCAATTTTAAGAAAAAATGTCACTTTCTGGCATATAATAAAGTTTCAAATATATGCAACGTTTATATTCAAATTTGTTATGATCTACAACAGTTAGGTAGTAAGTGAGACGAATTATAATTCAATTACCGGCTACGTTCTTGTTTATAGATCAAAATTCAACAAAATATAATTAGAAATTATTTTAATTGTGAGAGGCTCCCTTGTGGGACGCCTATGTACGATTACGGCGCGTCGGAAGCAATACCTACCTGTGAAAAGACAAATTGGGGTAATTTGAGCTTATTTTTCCACACATTTGACACTGTCCTGCCATATTGAAAATTCGCAGATTCAAAAGTACACGTTAAAAAAATGAATGAATGAAAAAAAAAAAAAACACTGAAAAGTTCACTTCGGACTTGATTCCGACTAGACACCGTAAGCTAAACGTAGTACGCTATAACGGACCAGTGGCCGTCGCGAGGGGTGGTGGGACAGACGGCTCATTTTCATTCTGGAAGACTAGCAGCGATGTTGCCAATAGTTCTAGACGTTTCAGCGTATTAAACAGTAAACATGTCCTTTAATAGTAAGGCATATATCCTCTGGTCAATAACATATTATTACGCATGCTTCTTTAAAAAATAAACTATTAATTTGATTAAGAAATTGAGATTTATTGATATCCGGTGAAGGTTTTAAAGTCACCTTTTCTGCAAATCAAACTAAGTAGATAGGCGCAAATTTGAGATGTGGCAATGTCGCCTTCTCTATCTCAGTTGGTTTTTACAATACGTAGTCAACCTCCGATTGTTTGATCGGGTTAAAATGCACAATGTGATATCTGTTCTTACTAAATCTATGGTTTTATTGATTCTGATGACGGGGGGAGATATACTTTTTGAATCGTTTTACGTCTTTTGTCAATTTTACTTCTTCGAAAAACTTGAAGAAATGAAACCACCAAAGTTACCAAAGTTATACACATTATTTAATGGGTATTACTAATACAAAGATTTATTTTTTACTCTAACATTGTTTTTGTAATTTTAATAAAATGGTAATAATTAAAAACGTTAGTTTATATTTGCATATCTTGCATGCGTATTACAATGTGTTTTTGTTGTTAAAGAGTAGTACAGTCAAGGTGGCACCTTTAACTCCCATCAAATTACCCCCACTCTCATACTTTGCCAGTCATAAATGGTCCACTGAAAAAGCTTAAATTCGAAAATTCGTATTCCCCCATCACACCGTTTTGAGAAACACAAAAAAAAATTGATTCATTTTCTGTGGCTGAACGAATGAAGAATTAAATTCTCATTGCCATTACTCGCTGACGAGTAGGTATTGACACGAATCAGAAAATGGTTATGCAAGGCGTTTCCTCTTATGTGATTTTCTGTGACTGAAAAAAGCCCGATACGTGATGTTATCTCTCTTCCGCACTCGGACATTCAAAAAGTCTCATTACTTTGTTGCCTCTTTACTTTTTTGGTTGTCGTTGTTAACTTAGTTTGGTACTTCTCCACTGCGTTTTATTGTGCGCACATTTTGAATAATAATACTAAATTAAAATCGTGTATTCGTCATTTTAGTGAAAATGTTTATAAAAGTGAACACTGGTTATGTGGTTTTAAGGCACTCAATAAACATATATGTTAGCCTTGTCCTTGTCTACTCTTTTATCTAAAGGCGGACTCTGACGACTCGTGTATTTGACAAAATGGTTATTGACATACAGGGTCAGGCGAGATTGCGGCGTATATAATAATAACTTAGAAATTCTGTATAGATGCCGGACGCACCCTGTACCGGTATACTAATTACAAATAAAAGAAATATTTGTCAGGTACGAGTCGTCTGAGCACGCCATAACAGGTAAGTTTACAGTTTTTGTTTTGTTTACTAGATTTAGTTCTTTTTAAATTGGTTTAATTATTTTTTTTGAACTGTTATATTTATTTTGTAACATAAGTGAACTTATAATAAAAAAAGAAAAAACTTTGTATTGGTAAAATGTTAAGTGCAGTTACTTACATCTCCCTGTATTGACGCCACGCTACGCCGCTGGTGTTTTGGTGTAATGTAGTTCTCTGCTGTGTTGGAACGAACCTGTTAAAAAAAATGTTGTGGTTGGAGAAAAAAAATATTGATATTATCCTTTCGATTTTTAAAAACTTCGAACTCAATTATAAAAAATTTAACAAAATATTTCTGAACCTATATTTTTCTGGATTTCGTCGATTTTATTTTTCAATTTTCCTGATGTTCGTTCATGCGCCAAGTTGGAATCACCCTGTACAGGGTCAAGTCGACACTTTTAAATGGACCATTTTCTATAGGAGATAGACGAAACCTAATATCGGTGTCTGGAGCTCAATTTTCATCAAAAAACATGATGGTGAAAACCGCACATCAATATCTGTTACCGTTTCGGAGTTACGGGGTGTTTTTTTTTCAAAAATGCATTTTTAACAAAATCGCTTAACTTTTTGCTAAGGAAAATTTTGTATTTCTATGAAAACATTTATAAAGCACCTTTTTAAGTGTTTTAGGAAAAAAAAATTTTTTTTTTTTTTTTTTAGGAAAAAAATTTAAAATTAATAATTTAGAGTTATCAACAGAAAAATTGATTGTGTTGGGACACCCTCTATATTTTTAACTAACTGAAAATAATTTTATAGTACGTTTCCAAATATAGCACACTTGATATTTTGTTATAATCCCTTCGAAATACAGAGTTTTTAAAGTTCATACTTTTTAACTAGTAGGCTGGACCCCTTATTGATGATATGCCCTTAATGGAACTCGAAAACATATTTTTTCCAGCAAGACGACACACCGCCTCTGAACGCTGAAGTTATCAGCAAATTTTGCAACCAATTTCGAAATAATTGAACGCTAACAAGATCCAGCCGTTGGCCGTCGTGCTGCCTGACTTAGTGCCCATGGATCTAATCCTATGGATATATTTGCGGAAGAATAAAGGTTCTTTATTCTTCCGTATAATCTAGACAAGAATTAGAAATGTTTAGCAGTTATGAGAGGGTATCTTTCACCCCCACTGAATTAATGCATTCCGCGAGAAATGTTCAAAAACTGCCCCGTCTGTCCATAATAGAAGACGGTCGATATGTCGAACACCTGTAGCAAAATCTCATGTCTTGGTTAGTTATTTATTTTTATTATTATTAGATATAGTTTAAATGTTGTGTCGATGATGGTTAAATATATTTTAAATTGTTATAAAATTCTGCATCTCTTATTTAAAGCTGGCGAATTTTTTATATACTCTACCTCTCGAAGAAGAATCGAGCAAAATATCAAGTGTGTTATATTTTTGGAAAGGTAATTTTAAATTATTTTCAATAAATTAAAAATATACAGGGTGTCCCATATAAAAAATCAAATTTTCTGTTGATAATTCTTAAATTATTAATTTTTGAAAAATTGTACTGAACCATTAAATTCTACGTAAAAAGGTGTTTTGGAAATGTTTTCATAAAAATACAAAATTTTCCATAGCAAAAAAGTTACAGCGATTTGATAAAAATGCATATTTTTGAAAAACACCCCGTAACTCCGACACGGTAACAGATATCGATATGCGGTTTTCACCATCATGTTTTTGACAAAAATTGAGCTCCAGACACCGATATCAGTTTTTGTCTATCTCCTATAGAAAAGGGTGTTTCCATTTAAAAGCGTCGAATTTGACCCACCCTGTACAGATACAGATTCTACTATTTGTTGTGCCAAACTGGTATTCAAGTAATTAAATTAAAAGTTTTTAGTCTTAAAATTTATATGAAACAATTGTGTTTAGACAAATAAACACAATTCTGTTATCTTCCTTCATAAAAGCAATAAGCGGATTTTATCATGTTTGTTTTCGAATTGATTAGGATCCACTAAATATTTTTTAAGATAATTTTGCAGACTCCGTTGTTCTTCAATATACTAATACACAGGAAAACAGCATCAGATTATTATTTTCTCCATATCGAACGTAAAATTTTATCATTTTGGTTTTTTATATTCGATTACTTTTTACTTATTGTGACATCTCAAGGACGGCAGTATTATCATTCTCTTGCAGTACCAAACAACTAAAAAAGAACAAATTGGTAAGTACATACTGCGAATTTTATTTTTAATGCTTTTGACTTCTCTTCTGGCCCGCGGATACAGTCTTGTATTTTATTTATATGCAATATGTACAGTATAGTATAACTTCAGTAGTTCGGGTAGATATCGTTCCGGCAATCACCCGGTATATCGAGGTGCCCGGATTACTGGAGCCATTTAAATTTATTCCTTTAGAAAATAAAAATAACTCAAACATTGTCAAGTACACAACGTTAAAATTTTTATGTATTTTAAAGTTTAATATATTTTGTTCTAGTGGGCCGATTTTGATGATTCTTTAAGCAATTTGTCGCTAAATTACTTGACTTTTTAGTATCTCTTTCTAAATTAAAAATAATAGTTTCCATCTGTCAATTATACGAGGGAAAACAAAATGTTGATATTTTGGTGAAAGTTTGAAACACCCTGTGTGTTACCAAAGCATGTTAACAAAGCAAGTTAAAAATTATTTCATCATCTAGGTACGTCTTTTCTCGAGAGCATGTTTTTTGATTCATCGCAAAAACTTTAATTTTATTGGAGATATTCGCTTTTGAATAAGACAGTAACAATTTATAGCAATTTTAGAATTTATTTCGGATCCTCATCACCACATTTATAACCCGTTAATGTACCCTACAGGGTGTTGCAAACATTTACCAAAATATCAATATTTTTTTCCCTCATATAATTGACAGATGGAAACTTGGAAATGGAAACAAAAGAGATACTAAAAAGTCAAATTTAGCTACAAATTGCTTAAAAAATCATCAAAATCGGCCCACTGGAACAAAATATATTAAACTTTAAAATACATCAAAATTTTAAGTTGTCCGTTTTTCGTGCAAGTGAGTGTAACGTTTATTAATTAAAATTATAGATTGAAACTATTTTTTCCATAAAAAAACTGATTCATTTCTGCGTTGAAGAACAGTATCGATGTTAATCGATCTCTCGATCCTTCAACATCAAGCTGATTTTTCATATTGATAACCTCATCTGCATTGTATGCATTGTTTTTTGCTTATTATACCGTATGATCGAAAAAAAACGGCGTCCAGTTGGCTTAGAAATGACGATCGATGACATTTCCCATATAATTTTACATATAAAAGAAAGCGATCTTCATTTCATAGCCATCACTGACGCCGTTTTTATTCGATCATACGGTATCATCTCATATTTTCATTACATGTCATCTCTCGAAGAACAGATCTAAATTTTTCCTGGAACGAAATCAGAGCAGTAACATCAATGGAAAGCCGTAACATTTCTGGCCACATATCGTCAAAAAAACTTCAGTTTTTCTAACAATCCATAACTTTAATAATAACTTCGTTGTATAACGAACCAGTTGTACAATGATAGTTCAAGTTCAGGTTATTCTGCTTTTCAACTTTTTTTTATATTGGCTTTTAAAACCATACGTCATCGATTATTCTAACCTGGCCCTTGAAATAATTTTGATATAAAAGTCTTTATTTTATCCCTCTTTTTGTTTATGTCAAACACTGCATATTTTGAAACTATATGTAGAGTGTAGAATGAGTAAGAGGGGGGTTAATCACTGCGACCTTAAAGATCTATTGTGCTTTTCACTTACTTTATTCCTTGAGTCAGGGTATTTCCCATCCTCCTCTGACAACAGTTCTTCCTCCGAGGGTACACACCCTTCCACGATTGGAGTTTGGCCCTCCGTGCAGCCCTTCACAGTCGAGGAGCTTACCTCCGGCTAAGGAACCCGTGAGGTGCAGGTTGGAGGATCTGTCTCCATTTTCTCCACCTCTTTAACTTGGTCTCTCCTTAGACCTGATACCGGTGTTGTCCCGTATCTATAATAGAGAATATGTTCCTCTTTCTCTATTGCCTCCTTGGATATGAGGTCAATTCCTATTGTGAGGACCTGACCATGACACTCCCTCCTCGAGTTGATGACTCGCCAACTCGATCTCCTTACAATGAAGTTCTGATCCTGGATATGGCTCAGCAGATAGATATATTTCCCCTTGCTCCTCGGCAGAAAGACCGTGATGGCCGCCCCTTTAGGGATGTTTTCTCTCTTCACTGTTACCAGTTCCGGCCCTTGCCAATATTTAAGCTTAGGTGCGATTTCCACCAACCAATTCGCCGATTCTTGAGATACACAATCTATGAGGATCATGCCCACCCGAAAGTGTATCCCCGCAAAACGCAGCTGACCCACATTTTGTAGATCGTTGTGTTGCGATCCGTTTGCCACTACTTCGTCCAGTATAGCCTCTTCTAGAGACGTTTGCTGGTTGGTGGTCAGAGCTATCTCTGGGAAATCCTTTGGCAGCACCGCCATTTTCACTTGTCCAGCAATAACGGCAAAGCTGGTGATGCGTCCCTGCTTGCCTCCCTGTGTTGGACGGCTTTCCATCCTGGTTTTTTTGAGGTGAGAGGTTCTCGCTCCCTCTCTTGCCCTTTGATGGAGATGAGTCAGGTTGTTTCTTGGTTTCTTTACTCTCCCCTTTTCGGAGGAGTGTTTTCGCTTTTGCTTCCTCTGGAGCAAGTCTTTCGTGGAGCAGTCGGAGGTATCTCCGTCCTTCCTGCTACCGACAAAACGGTAGCTTGTGTCGCTTTAGGAATTTTGGAACTATAACATGCTCCGTAATTTGACAAGTAGGTATTTTTGCCGAATTAAGATATTCTAATATTTTAGATTTTTCGGCGAGTGTAAGAGCTTTTGTACTACTTATGTGCTCGTTTGATAGGAACCATTACGTCTAACATTGTAGACATTATTATGTGTTCATATTATTATACATTATTATGCATTTATTGTGTCCCTCTCTCTTACGCTATAACTCATCATACAATCTCAGGGCTTTGACAAAAGCCAGTATCGGAGACGGTTTTATAATGATTAGTTCTCCATCTCCGAAATCAGTCGTAACAAAGTTTATAGTACCCGCTTTAATCTTTAAACAAATAGTTTAGGATACTAACAGACTTTTTTATGAAGATCCATTTATCAGTTATTTAAGTTGTGATCCCAAACAACCACAGTGAAAAAAAAGCTGATGCCGTTAAATAAGATTAGAAAAAATATCATCTTAAAATAGAATTCTAATGGAGCATTTTCCAAAAAACGTTATAGATATGTCACTTGAATTAAGTACTCTACTCAATAAAATGTTATCGCATGCTCTTGACAACAATTTTTTTTTATTTAGTTTAGATGAAATCCTCTTAATAAATAAATAATCCATCTGATTAACTCACTTAAATCGCATTATTTAAAAAATCAATTATTATTTTTGAGTTTGCTGACTCGTTATGCTGATCTCTTATCTGTATTATTGATTTTTTTTTAATTCTTTTAACAATATTAAGACTTGATTGGTTGACTTCGCCAGAAAAACCTTGTCTCTCATTGTGCAGTTTTAGGTTGACAACATAGGTATATCTAAAAATCTCGTCTCATAATTTTCTGTTGAGCCCATTTTCAGAAACTTAAAAATTGCTTTATTATATATTTTAATCTACGACAATGTCATTATGACACATTTAACATTGTTATTTGGATTTCATTATGGCTTTTATAATAGCACTAGTGCTATTATGGCTATTATGGATTCATAATAACACGCAAATTTTAAAATAAGAAACAAGCAAAAAAAGGTACCTACTATTCTTGATTCCTTTCCCTTTACACCAATCTTCAAGTTTTACATAGGCTTGCTCGTACGTTTGTCTTGATTTTTCGGGAAGTAGGGAATCGACAACGTTTTGCGCAATGCCTTCAATATCCGAAGGGACACTTTCAGAATCAGAATCACCCATATTAATATTATTTTTTGCTTTTTAACATCAATAATTGAGTTGTCAAAGTCAAAATGGAAACAATCAACAAGCAAGGTTACCACGGCGTCGACTAATATGGGCACCTCATAATTTTGAATTTTAATTTTTATGAGGATATCTCTGATATTTTAAATTAAACCAAATCTCTTTGGATCGTCCCTCGTGTGGCGTCGTAGATTAAATTTTGAATGATACACGTTCGATACGAACTTTTTAATGAAACTTGTGTAACTAAGCCATTACACGCCTTTCATTATGATGTTCGTATCGAGCTTGTATCATTAATAACTATGATCTACGACAATGTCATTATGACACATTTCACATTGTCATTTGGATGTCATTATGGCTTTCATAATAGCACTGATGCTATTATGAATTCATAATAACACGCAAATTTTAAAATAAGAAACAAGTAAAAAAGGTACCTAAATACGTTTATTTATTGTAAACATTAATTATAATATCAGTACAATTGGTTAAATTAATTCCAGACAGGTGACTTGAATTTTTTTTGCAGATTTAAGACAACAGTAAAACGATATGAGTCTGGACCAACATCATGAGAACCTGGTAAACAATAACAAAAGCCACAAGCCATGTCATTTGAAACAACCGGAAGTTAACAATGCCTACGTGGACAATTCCAACGAAGTTTATTTCGGACACAGGAACATATTTCAGGGTCCGGTGACGATAGAAACAGTCATATTTAAAGATGTAAAGGAAAATTTAGATAAAGGAAATAAAACGGACGGTGGTATCGCCAAAAATCCAGATGAAAGCACTAGGAACGGAAAAGAAGAATATAGCAAATATAATCCAAATACACCTTGTATAGTAAATGGTAAGACACAAAATATTCTCTAGCACACTCACCGGCACCAAAAACGGACACCTTAAAATATTTATGTATTTTAAAATTTAATATATTTTGTTCTAGTGGGCCGATTTTGATGATTTTTAAAACAATTTGAAGCTAAGTTATTTGACTTTTTAGTATCTTCTTCTAAACTAAAAAGGAAACTTTCTATCTGTCAATTATAAGAGGGAAAATAAAATGTTGATATTTTTCAGTTTCAAACACCCTGTAGAATATGTTAACATTGCAAGGAATCTAAAAATCATTTTATCATCTAGGTACATCTTTTCCCGACAGTTTATTTTTTGATTCATCTCAATAGCTTTATTTTTATTGGAGAGATTCGCTTTTATATAAGAGAGTAACGATTTACAGCAATTTTAGCATTGATTTCAGATCCTCATCAACCAACACACTTATAAAATAGTGTATATTGTTTTTGTAATGTCACTGTCATTGAAAAGTCATATTATTACTGCTTATTGACATTTATTCTAGTATAGATGGTTTTAAGTTCTGAAATATCGGCTTTTGCTGCTTTAATTGATCATGGTAGTACATAGTACCCTATATATTTTATTTGTGAGAAAATAAGTTCCTAAGGTCTGGCGGCCCTGGGATTTTGACTACTTGTTTTAGTAGATTTGTACTAAAACTGTAATACTTTTTTGAACTGATTTATTTATAGAGATCTTTTATAATCTTTGGTTTTTAGGTTTCCTCTGGATAAAGGAAAATGCCAAAAACCACATGAAAATTACCACAATTATAATTATCGTAGTCATATGTATTCTTGCTATTGCAATAATTGTACCAGCAGGTAAAGTTATTTTAGTTTTGAGTACTTTATATTTTTCATATTGATATTTACGTCATTATTATTATAAATATATAGTTGGAACAAACGAAAAAAGACTTCTAAAAGCAATCTGCAATCGTCAATGGAAATAAACAGCAAAAGAAAACTCGCTTTGGATTCCTTAATTCCATATACTAAGAACTGGCAAAGGTTAGTCTTGGGTCGAGATTTCCGTATGTAAGAAGAGTACAATGCGTTTATAATGTACTGAACAAAGAGAGAACAGTAAACACGTTGCCAAAAGTATGAAATAAACCGAGAAACTGTGCACATCGCTAAGAGACGTGGAAGGGGATATAGCAGATTTGTCGCAGTTGACCGGTCGACCTAATCAATACCTCTGTCAGTACTTAAAGTTCTAGGGAACGGTGTACGTCATGCGTTCAGCTTCACGATTTAATTACGTTTCGTGATACTTAATTTGTTTATTTATTAACGAGTCGTTGTAATTTTCCATATATCTTGAATATTTTTAAGTGCAAGCTAGAAACACTTGCATTTTTGTTAAAAATAAGTGGAATTGAGTGGGTGTTCGATAGTGGTCACGCTATTAGAACTCTGAATTCAAAAATCGATATCTCGAAATCTATTAGAAATAATAGATTGTAGTTTTTTCAAGAACTTTGTTAATATTTCTGCTGTATTTTCTTTGTAGGCAGTATGTGAAAATCTTTATCAATAAAAAAATTACACGATTGCTGAAAATTGCTATGCTCTAAAAGTAAATGGATGGATTGTTACAATTTTTGAATGGAAAAAACAACCTTATCGAATTTTTCTTATGTAAACATATTGTAAAATATCCGATCTTGAAAATAAAAAAAAAGTTTGAATATCTAAAATGGTTCTTGAGTTATGGTCTGTTATGTGTTAAAAAGTTGAGTTCTTAAATTATCGCGATTACTGACGTTTTCTCGTCAGTAATAATTATTTCTCTAGTGATTTTATCTAGTTATCTCTCAAAAAAAAGTCTTTTAAAAATAAGCGGTTTGCGATCGTGATTTTTCTTTACTTGATAGGGAAAGGCGTATCGGCAACGCCGCAACAGCACACCGTCGCGCGTCGCGTCGGTCGGTCGCATTTCTCTCACTCGGACTTAATAAGATCCCTATGCGATTTACTTCCACACATGTAAATGCCGACCCAAAAGTAACAGTTACCAGCACGGTATTTGGAATGCATATCTATAATTTACTTGTGGTACTAGCTATTCTGTGCTTGTGGGTATTCACAGCAGAGTGCTCGATCCATATACTAGTTTCAACCGTTGTTTAAAAGGAAATGTTTACGCTCTTTGGAAGGCAAATAATTTATTTTTAAATATTTTTGCTGTATTGTCATTTTAACAATAATTGTCAGTTTATTTCAAAAAAAGGTATCTGATTATCTCCTAAGTTTGTCAATATTCCTACTGCCTGTAATACCACAGAGCTCTCAAACCTAGATTAGATTTATCCTATTCTGGATTCCTATAAAATGAAATGAATATACCGGGTGAGTCTCAAAAGTGGCTCACCTCTATAACTTTTTTATTTTTTTTTAAACGAGATGACTTCCTGTTTCACTCGAGCTGACTACAACTTTTGATTTTTAAATGGCACTCTCGTTATTTTTTTAATTTATTTGATAGAAAATGAAACTCTGAATAGAGTGACTGAAGATAATTTGACTCGAAATACCAAGTGTGTGGTACTAAATTATTCGTAAAAAAATGCTTTTTCCAAATATTCTAATGCCATACTCGTTCTATTTGAAAATTTTGAGATATCATTAAAAATACAAGTTGGGCATCTTTTAGCCTGCCAAGACAAGACTCTAAAAACATTAGACGATCAAATCTATTTTTCCAAGGCTCCTTGATTAAAAATTAGTGTTTTAACACAACCATTGCACTCTAGATTGAAATTTAAAATACAATTTTGTTTAAGCTAGATTGTCAAAAGGTGGTGACATATGCTATATCGTTCTATTCAGAATGTCATTTTTTATCGAATATAGTTAAAAATACCAAGGAAGCCAGTTTAAAATCAAAAGTTGTAGTCATTTCCGGTGAAACAGGAAATGACCGAAAACAATTGAATACGTCAATCAATCCTAATTTATGTCATATACTAACATACCAAATCTCGTTTTTTTTTTATCTCAAAAAATAAAAAGCTTATAGGGGTGAGTCGCACAGACTTTTGAGACGCACCCACTATAATACTAATTACTTAAATAATTTCATAGTGTAAAAATGTTAAGTGAATTTTACTTGTAGTGCTCCTGTCAAGGAAAAAATCATCCTTCATACTGTCTCGTTCAGACTGGGGTGCACTAGACCCATCAGGTGTAACCACACCTTTGCCAACTCCAGTTAACTATGTCATAATACATCACACAGCTACGGAAAATTGTACAAATCAGGATCAGTGCATAAAAAACTTACAGTGAGTATATTTATTTTTAAATAAATAACTTTAAATATTTTAAGATTATGTTTGCTGGATTCAATCTTACTTTAAATTAATTTTATCTACAAACATACAAAAAATTGCATTGTTCCCTTACATTACGTGACATTACTTACCTTGTTCATATCAAGTAAACTTTTAGTCACATGATTAAGATTGACCGGCACACGGTTGCCCACTTTTACATATTTTCTTTCAATCAAAATATTTTAGGAAACAAAAATAAATTAATTATAAATATACAGGGTTGTTCACCACATACGACACGGAGTATGGTAGCTAAACGATTAGATTTTTACAAATTGTAAGTTCTGGGTTCGTTGAAGGACTATTAGAGCTACAATTTAAAAATATTTTTACAAGATACAGAGTGTCCTAAATAAGTTAAAAATATTATAGTTGTATTTTTTTAAATGGAACACCCTGTATATTATTCTATTTTTAGATTCTACGATTGAAATAAAGGTAAATTTGACTAAGGTTTATCACACTTAAGCCTTACCATTTTTTAAATATTTTTAATTTTATGAAATTGCAGTAAAAATTTTAAGGCTTTATTTTTCCAAGGGTATCAAAGTTTTTAATACTAAATATTTACTGAAGATTATTTATTGATCAGATATTGTGTTGCTATAATAAAAATTTTACTACCTTATACAGAGTGTTCAAAAATTTATATTAAATAATTACTAGCTTTAAACGGCAATAACTTGTTTAATTTAAATGGAACCCTATATATTTGACATGAATCACATGCACAATGTAATTGTCTATCAAATTGTATTATACCATTTTTTACCTATCTCTTCAAGTTTTTGTAGAAAATGCATTTCCTTATAATTTAGACCTCATTTATCACTATACCCATGAAATATTGACATTTTAGATTATTTTTAAAGATGTAACAAATTTTCAAAGAGTACAGATACTAATATTGTCGATATAGTTCGTTTATTTCATTAAAAAAAAAAAAAAACTGTTTAAATATTTTTTTGTTAACAAGGACCAATTAACATGACCCCAATATTCAAACTACATTAATTGATTGTTTACGTTGATTAATAACATTTGCTCCAAATACTCAAAAACTGAATTTTGTGTGTGTATTAGACAGTGTGGTAAAAAGTAACACTTTATACATTTTATTTCATTTTTTGACGAATGCTTATTTATAAAAACAGAAACGTTCATCTTCATAACTTATTATTATATTGATTCTGAGCCAAATTCACACACACATTTATTTAGAATACTTTATTAATTAAACTAAAACTAATTTTTGGTCGGAAATAATGGATATGTATATTTAATTGGTATACTCTTTCACAAAGATTTAAATATTTTTTTTTGTATACCAATGGGCTTGCAATACATTTTGTACATATATGTTGCTTTAAAAAAATCTGAAACGTCTATATTCCATGGGTATAGTGATAAATGAGGTCTAAATTAAAAGAAAATGCATTTTCTACGAAAACTTGAAGAGATGGGTAAAAATGGTATAATACAATTTGATAGACAATTATATTGTGCATCTGATTCACCTAAAATATATAGGGTGTTCTATTTAAATTAAACAAGTTATTGCCGTTTAAAGTTAGTAATTATTTAATATACATTTTTGGACACTCTGTATAAGGTAGTAAAATTTTTTAATTGCAACACAATATCTGATCAATAAATAATCGTCAGTAAATACTTAGTATTAAAAACTTTGAAACCCTTGGAGAAATGAAGCATTAAAATTTTTACTGCAACTTCATAAAATTGAAAATATTTAAAAAACGGTAAAGGTTTACGTGTAATAAACCTTAATCAAATTTACCTTTATTTCAATCGTAGAATCCAAAAATAGAATAATATACAGGGTGTTCCATTTAAAAAAATACAACTATAATATTTTTTACTTATTTGGTACACTCTGTATCTTGTAAAAATATTTTTAAATTGTAGCTCTAATAGTCCTTCAACGAACCCAAAACTTACAATTTATAAAAATCTAATCGTTTAGCTACAATATTCCGTGTCGTATGTGGTGAACAACCCTGTATACTCGTCACGTCTTATTAAGTAATAATTAATATTAGCTAGCAATTATTGTTGGTTTCAAGTTTGACTTCATATCATATCAGTATAACAGAACATCAATAAAATGATTTTGAGAAAAAAACATTGCTAATACCTAACCTTTTAACCGTCTAAACTCAACAAATCATGTCAATTGAGTTGATTCAAGTCAAGTCTCAATTGACTATTGTTTAACTTTTGACGTTGTTTTTAAACGGCGACCAATAGATAGTCAGAAGAAAGGCTGTGAAGATTATTAATACTTATGAAAAATATGAGTGTAAGGGAAATTAAAACAGCTTTTGTTGCACGTCATCAATGACACCATGCGTCGTCTTATGGAGTTTGCTGGTGGCCGTATTATGATGTGCAACCAAAGTTATTTTAATTTTCCTATATATGGGTGGTAACATACAGAATTCAAAATAAAAAATTAGGGAAAGAAGAGTAATTTCTAGCTTCAGCCGAGGAGAAATAGCGTTACGCATTAAGCTTGATTTTCATGCATCCGTTATACGTTGATACGATGGTCCGACGGTGCTCTGATTTACTGAATATTTTACTTCAGCCCGCCAACAGACCCGTTCATACGATAACGGACGTTTTGACACTTTTTTGACAAATTTAATCTAGCCTTAATCAAAATATAAGTATAAAAGCAAAATCGTTATGGAAACAAAAATATAAAATGACACCAAGGTATATCCGATAAAAATGTTCATGCCCCAAAATGCAATAAATTTAAAAACTGCGTTATTTTATAATCAATGAAAGTCTTTAAATTCTACCAATAAAATTAATGTCATATCAACGTATCGACGGACAACGGATGCATGAAAATCAAGCTTTAATGTGTCTTGTTATTTAATTCTAGGTAAAACTTTCTCCATTGCATCGATCCAGTTTTTTTGTAATCTCTCGATTAATCTCAATAGTCAAGAAGTGTCACTTTAATTTTAGTCCTGACCATTTACTTCTAGATTTCAATAACCAACAGTTTCTGTTTTGTTGCGGTTTTGTCTGCTATGGAAATCTACCTTAATACAAAAATGCATTTTTATGGCCTTAACAGATTCAATATAATTCATTTATTTTTAGGTATATACAAAAATTTCACATGGAGAGTCGAGACTTTTACGACATTGGATATAACTTCTTGGTAGGTGGAGATGGACAGGCTTACGAAGGAAGAGGTTGGACAGTAGAGGGAGCCCACTTATTTGGGTAAATCACTATACAGGCTGTCTTAAATAAGTGCAAGTTTTTTAATTCGGAATATAGTTTAACAAATTCTCGTTCTCACGTACGAACTAAAAATGTATTCTTTTGGCATTTTCCAAAAAATTAAAAAACAATTTTTGTGCTGCAGACTTATTTTTGAGAATGTCTTAAAAATTGTACCATGCTAAGTGATATCTGCGTTCTTTAATTGTATTTTTGTCTGATGATGCTCGTATGAGCGAAACACGTGTCACTTTGCTTAGTTTTAATATACAGTATGTCTCCGGATTGTCTTTACAAGAGGAAAAACTTTTTTATTATTGACACTTTGAGTAAAATGCATTCTTCATAAAAAAAATTAGAGAAAATTAATAAAAACATGAAAATATGGTTGAATTTTTTCCTAAAAAGTCCTAAAAATCAAAACGCGTTTTTATGGTAATATAACTTCGTTTTCATTCTTTGATACCGTAATCGTAAAACATTTTCCGATGCACGTCATCAATCATATCGAAATTGACACTTAAACCTATAAAGGTGGGTTCATACAGCCAAATAAAATAAAATAAGAATAAAATAAAATAAGAAATAAGGAATTCTTATTTGTGTGCGTTCATACAGGCAAATAAAATAAAATAAGAAATATATATTTGCTCATGCGCAGTACGATGAGGCTGGATAAAAGTTAACTTTTACGATTGTTTATAGTAATTTTACTATTTATAGTATATTTAAATCAAATTGATATTACCATAAATAAACCAATGAATACAGAACAACAAACAAAAAATGTAATATACAAAATACCATTTTGTATATTTTACATTGGTGAAACATCTAGACCCTTAAATGTTCGAATTAAAGAACATAAAGTTTATTTAAGAAAGGGAGATTTTCACAAATATAAGATTTGTCAGCATTCACGGGACACAGGACACAGAATAGATTTTAATAAGGTTTTTTTAATACAATCTAATAAAAAATAAATGTATTGCTCATGCATCTGTAGATGTTAGTAATGTATTGCAATCTCTTCTTTGATTTTAAAGAACATAACATAAATAAACATAACATACGTATAAATTAAAAATAATCATACAGAAAGTTTGGTGCTTTTTGGTTTTACCTTATTAAGTAATTGTTATCAGGTAGTAATTGTTAATTTTGAAGTTTAGCTTGGATATAATGTCATTTTAACAGAACGTCAACGGTTTTTGTAGACGTACCTGCTTTAAAAAAACTAAAGTGTTTTCGCATAGTTCAATTTAAATATTTTAAACAGTTTTTTTCTTTATTCTTTGTATTTTTTTGCTTCCGACGACGGAAAGAGATAAACTTTCCGAAACGTTAAGCATTTTTTTGTTTGTTAGGCAAATTTGTATATCTGTAAACCTAACTTCTGACAAGTAGTTTCCATTTGTATTAACGCAGAAGTGTTTAAAAAAAATAACTATTTTGTTTTGTAGATTTTCTTGCAGTGGCGAAATTCTCATATAGGATTTTTTGTAGAGATGATTTGATATTACCATAGAAACGCCTTTTGATTTTTAAGACTTAGACATGTTTGACAAAATATTCAACCATCTTTTCATGTTTTTCGAGATGTTTTTCTTAATATTCTCTAAAACGTTAAGGAAATTTAGAAAAATATAAACGGGATTAACAATTTTAGAACAAGCAAAATTTTTTTATGAAAAATCCATTTTTAGCAAAATGTCTATAGAAAATGTTTCCTCTTGTAAAGATAATCCGGGGACCTACTGTACAAAGGCCGTGACTTTGATTATTTTTTCTTCTTTATAATATTTGTATCCTCTCAAATTTCAGATATAATTCGAAAAGCATCGGCATAGCCTTCGTAGGCACGTTCAACGACATAATGCCGCCAAAACGTCAAATCGAAGTCTGCCAGAAAGTGATTAAGCAGGGCCTGGACTGGAGTTATATCGACAAAGACTACAAACTGCTCGCAGCCAGACAACTGGCAGGGACAGAGAGTCCAGGTGCCGTACTGTACGCTGACGTTAAAACATGGCCCCATTGGGTCAAAGAACCATAAAAAGTCTAAGACTGAATTGTTTACAAAATGTGATTTTATTCGATTTTATGTGAGCTTGGTCTTTTATAAAAAAAAACATTAAAGCTTCATTCGGAATCTCGAAATTAGTGGAATAAATTAGTAGTTTCAATTAGCGTAGAAGTTTGTTCACTTAATTTTAATGTAAGCATTCAGAACATCATAATTTGTGATAGTAATTTTCAATTAGTGGAAAAAGTTAACAAACTTTTGACTTTTCCACTCATTATACTTCAAAATTTGCCAGGAATGTCTTTTTGGCCTTTGATTATCACCCGTCAAGAAAAATTTTGGTTAGAAATCAAAAGTTTATTGTTTTATAAGCTAAGGCTGTATTCCGTGGCAAAACCAGGCGAACCAGACCGGTAAACTACGGTAAAGAGCGGTTCCTGAAAAACATCGGTTTGATACGGAACGGTTTGGTAAAATACTGGAAATGTCAAATGTTGACGTTTTCTAAATTTCAATACCTTTATTATAAAATTTATCTTTTATGTATTTTTAATGTACCTATTCTCTGCTTTTACGTTTGCTTCTTCTTTCAATTGAGTTTAATGTTGAAAAGTATTTTATTAATAAACTGCTCCAATATTAAAACAAATCAATAATAAATAAACAAATCTAATCAATATTTATATTTTTATAGCTTACAAAACATTCACGATTACTTGTTGTCTTGTTTTTCATGTTTTCTGGCCGCATGATAAGTTTAAATGGTCCTAAAAAGTAATTCTATTTAGTTTATGAAATTTATTTACCTTTACTGCCTACCTTCATTGCTTTTGTATATAAATACAAAATAGTATAACAAATTTTAGAAATTAAATGAGAATTTCACTGAACTTCCAGTATTTGCTTGATTTCTGTCACATAAATGACATTGATTGACAAACAAACCGGAAAACCAGCCTTCTCGCGCTGGTTAGTTTGGTGACAGTTATAACCGGTTATAACCGTGTTATAACCGAATTTTTCAGGAACCGTGTTCCCTAATCAGAGAACTTTCAGGAAACCGATAGAAACGGAACATAAAACCATAACCAAGATAAGCAACGGAATACACCCTCTGTGGATAGTTTTTTAGACGACGTGAATGATCATAAACTAAAAAGTATAAAGTGTAGTTGAAACCACTAATTTATTCCACTAATTGGGAGGTTCTGAATGAAGCTTAAAACTTCATCCAGAATCATAAAATTAATGGAATAAAGTGGTGGTTTCAATTAGCGTATGTTTCATCCTGTAATCTCAATGTAAACATTCAGAAGGTTAAAATTAGTGGTAGTACTTTTCAGTTACTGGAAAAAGTTAACAACTTTTAACTTTTTCCACTAATTATACTTCAAAACTTGCGAGTAATGTCATGTTGACGTTTGATTATCATCCGTCAATTGAAATCGTGTTTGCAAATGTTTTTAATCTAAATATTAGGCTTTCTCTGTGTATACTACCGATTACCGCAAGCTGCTGCTAGGTAATTTTATTTATTTTATTTGTATTTTTTCAAGGTTCTGAATGAAGCTTTACCTCGAGCTTTACCCTTATTAAAAATCGATTTAATTTTGATATTTTAAAATACTAAATAAAGTTTTAAGGCCACGTTATATCTCGTAGTCGTTATTGTATATATTTTTGTTAATTTTTATTTGTTTAATGAATAAAATGATATTATATCAAAAATTATTTTCTCTGCTCTTATTAAAAATTGCAGTCCTGTGATATTAGCCAAGTTATTTTTCCAAACCCGTCTGATTATTATCTTTTTAAAGAATCAGTACAGAAGAGTACAATATATTAGTTTCGGCAAAATGGCATCGTTAAATGAAACTGAACATATCGAAACTAATTAAATTAAATTATTTAAGTGTTATTTTCAAAAGTCAACAACTCGGAAACGGTTGGTATGAGGTACTGCTGGTTCCAAAAAAAAAATGAATACGACTCTTTACACATTTTTTCGAATATTTGAGCAGTGAATATTTATGTGTCAAGTATTTTGACATGTTAAGGTTATTGCGATCATTGAACAAAAGAACTTTGTTTTTGACAAAGTGGCAAATAAATTTTTCAGAAAGTCGGCATGGCATAAGTAGAGAAATGCCTGGGGAGGTATCATAGAATATACTGCCCGAAATAATAAAAATATGTTTTAAATCGTATTCAATTTTATCGGAACCAGCTGTACATTGTGTGTATTTCGATTTTTGCTTAGAATTGAAGAAAGAACCGAAATGCAATAATATACAGGGGGTTTAATTTAAAAAAAAATAAAACTTTGATGTGCCACGACTTTAAGACCGACCCTGTATACTTAAATTTATTACCCGCTAATAGATATTTATAAACCCTATAACTTTTATATTTAATTTTTTGCGGTACCTCCTATATTTTACCTAATAATCGACCGTTTCCATACATAAAAGCGACCCTGTATATCAATACAGGGTGAGTTTCCTACGATGTTCTCTATGGGTATCTCGCAAACTACTTGAGATAGAGAGTCGTTTAAATGGGGAAAGAATTGCAGTTTTGTGGGGTCATAAATAGGCGCCTTTCAGATTTTTGGAAAAGTTCATGGCTTACTTGATATTTCGAAAAAAACAAATTTCGGCTATTTTTAAAATTGTCCCTAATTCCATTATAAGCTATTTTAGACAAAAAGTTTTCAGATAACAGTTGTAGATAATCACATCCTTAATGAGATTGTGGCCTCCGTTTCTTTCTAAAGCCTGTCATTTTTGACATATGACACAAACATAGGTTTTTTTAAATGGAAACTATAGTTGCCATTGACTTCATAAAAAGCGCCGTTTTTTTAAGCTTTTTAGCGATATAAGCTATAATATGTTTTCTTCGAAAAATTACTGAGTTATAGCCAATTCTTATCTTTCTTGACTAATTTCACTTAGTTAGCCATGGAAACAAGTTTAATCGTCTTTGCTCTCAGAAATGTGAATCTGTCACATCCAAACTTTGTAAATTAAAATAAACAAAAATTGTATGAATTTTTCAAATGAGGAAAAGCATGTAGGATTATTTGTTAAACTTTTCTTGACCATCATTTTTGAGAATACGTTGACCGCTGAATGTTACGTTTTTTAGAGAACGGTTTTCAAGACATGTTAGAAAAGTTAAATTTAGTTATAGCCAATCTTTCTTGACTAATTTAACTTAGATTGGTATGGTATTCGTACTAATTTCACTTAGATTGGTATGGATATCATGGTATTCTTATTCTGTTATGAGTTATAACTTATAAAAAGTCAGAATATATTACTAAACGGTTCTTTACAATTTACATTACACAAATAAAACTTAAAAAAATAATATCACTACAAACACTTTAAGTTATTTTAGAAAATGTTTAAAAAATCCGCCATTGTTTTGTGTTGCATCTTTTTAAAACTGAATTACTACCTATTCTCACAGAAGGACCGGTCGACTTAATTAAACTTCTCTCGTACCGCCACTTCGGTTGCCTCTTAATTCATAAGTTCTTTTGTAAACCTTATTGTTAAGCATACCGCATAAAAAAATCTAAAATGGATGGGTTAGGTGATCGAGGGGGTCCATGCAATTTGGTCCACCTCTTCCTATCCTTGAGTTTGCATTATTTCTTTCATTATAAGAGGGAGGGTCATAATGAAAGGCATGTTGGAACTCTATTAATGCGCAAATATCTACACTTTTCTTCATTTGAAAAATTCATATTTACAATTTTTGTTTATTTTAATTTACAAAGTTTGGATGTGACAGATTCACATTTCTGAGAGCAACGGCGATTGAACTTGTTTTCATGGCTAGCTAAGTGAAATTGTTTAAAAATTATAAGAATTGGCTATAACTCAGTCATTTTTCGAAGAAAACATATTATAGCTTATATCGCTAAAAAGCTTAAAAAATGGCACTTTTTATGAAGTCATGGCCAACTATGGTTTCCATTTAAAAAAACATATGTTTGTATCATATGTCAAAAATGACAGGCTTTAGAAAAAAGCGGAGGACACAATCTCATTGAGAATGTGATTATCTACAATTTTTAACTGAAAACTTTTTGTCTAAAATAGCTAATAATGGAATTAGAGACAATTTTTAAAATAGCCGAAATTTGTTTTTTTCGAAATATCTAGTAAGCCATGAACTATTTCAAAAATCTGAAAGGCGCATATTTATGACCCCACAAAACTACAATTCTTTCCCCATTTAACCCACTCTCTATCTCCAGTAGTTTCCGAGATACCCATAGAGAACATCGTAGGAAACTCACCCTGTATATGAAATAAAATAATACAAATATTGGACTAGGTTAAAACTTCCCAGCTGATTATTATTAAGAGGTCAAATTTTTTTTTCCAAAGAAATTCTTGGAATTAAAAAAAATAATTACTGGAAATAAATTTAACAGTTTTTTTTTAATTTAAAATTTTATTATACTCAAATGACAAATTTAATACAACAATTTATGACCCTTTAAAAATATCTAATAACTAACCATTTTTTTTAATTCTACCTATTTAATTTTATGTGCCGTGAAAATATTTGTTGCTTATTTATCATTTCTCGGTGGTTTTCTTAAGAAAAATGTGTTTATTTCCAGGAAAATATAATTTTAATAATACACTAAAGACTAAAGTAGTGTATGAATCCTAATAGTTTTAATTATTTTTAGAAATTTCAATATACCTAGAAACGTAGATTCCCAGTATTTGCTGAAACAATAGATTTATTGTAGTATACACTAGAGGTGTGTAGTTCGTGAACGAACTAGTTCCAATGAACTATTCCAACCCCGGAATGAAAGGAACTAGTTCCTGGTTTCTCAAAAAACTATTTCCTCAGGACCTATTCCGGGATCGAGACTGTGACCGATATAGAATGATATGCGACGGTTCGGCTAGCGCGCGTAGCCCGATGGTAGGCAGGAGTGCGGAGTGCCAGCCGCACGTTATCGGATCCGGACCTAGAGGAACTAAACCACAAACTAAACTAAATAAAAGACTAGTTTACGTACGTACGAATCGGGCCAGCGCGATCGATGCTAGGCAGGAGTGCGGAGTGCCAGCCATATGCCGTATGTTATCGGATCCGGACCTAAAGAAACTAGAGGAACTAAATAAGACTAGTTTACGTATGGAGCAGCCAG